CAGTAATTACCAAATTGAGAGAGTCGTGAATCGCTTTTCTAAATTTGAAAAGCGCATCAAGAATAGATCAGGAGCAGGCAAAATTAATAGTTACGAACTCATTTCCATAGAAATGGACTTATTAGCAAGCGTGCCAGCTGCCTGAAATTATAAGGCCTTATCCTATCGCTTGGAAGAAAGAATGGGCCCAGGCGCACGTGGAGTTGATTTCTGTTCTTTATCCCCACCAAAAGTTTTGTCTTCTTCTTCTTTTTTTTCCCAAAGGACACTTGGATTCTGCTAAGTCTGCAGAAGAGGGAGGGTGCAGGAGAGCTGCGAGTAGCAAAAACGCTTTGTATGACTTTTGGAGTAGATGGAGTGTGCTTTTCCGCTGTTGTATCATCTTTTTTATCCATGTACTAATTATATTCCAATAAGTTTTAGCTTCTACACACGTCCACCACATATGGTAGAAGGAACCTGGTATCTGATGACATTTCCAACATTTCATAGACCTGTCCTTAAACATTTTAGCTAATCTTTCTGGAGACATGTGCCATCTGTAAAACATTTTGTACATATTTTCTTTATACGCAATCCCCATTGCCAATTTATAGTTTCTTTCCCATAGTTGCTGCCATCTATCTAATTCAATTGTATATCCAAAATTCCTTGTCCATTTTATCATTGTCTCTTTCACTTGTTCCTCCTCTAACTCCATATGTAGTAGATAACTGTACATTTTTTAAATCCCTTTTTCTTCCGTTCCTATGAGTAATTCATCTAACTCTGTTGTCCCCAAATTAACACCATCTATTTTAACATCTTTTTCACATCTAGATTGTATTTGCGTTCTCATGTACCAATCCATCTTTATTCCCTGATCCTCTAATTGTTGTTTGGTTTTCAACTAGATGGAGTGTGCTTTTGATCCAACACTCAGATTGGAGTTTTTTCCCCCTGTTTTAGTGGGTGGAGCTACTGGGAGCCCACTTTAGAATATTTACTCTAGCTCAGAGAAAGCTCACAAAGTGTTTTACAATGGAACTATCTTCATAAAGCAAGATATGTATAATAAATGCAAAGCGGGGGGGGGGGGAGACATGATAGCGTCTTCCAATATTTGAGCGGCTGTCACAGAGAAGAGGGGGGTCTACCTATTCTCCAAAGAAACCTGAAAACAGAATAAGAAGCAAGGCATGAAAACTAATCGAGATAATTGATTAGAAATTTCCTGATAGTGAGAACAATGAATCAGTGGGACAACTTGCCACCAGAAAGTTGTGGATGCTCCAATACTGGAGATTTTTAAGAAGAAAGTGGACAACCATTTCTCTGAAATGGTATAGGGCCTCCTGCTTGAACAGGCAGTTGGACTAGAAGACCGCCAAGGTCCCTTCCAACTCTGTTATTCTCTGTTGTTATTCTGCAAGAATTCTTTACTAGCTAGAAGGTGTAGATTGAAGCTGACACTTCTTCAGAAGTTGTATGTCATGGTTCCGATAGATGAGACCAACTAAAACAGAACTCCGAGGCTCGAGGTTTCCTTTAAGAACGTGTTTATTGGCTACAAAGTATCGGCACTGTCAAATGTGAAACCAAGACTAAAGTTCTCTCCCGAAAATTACAGTATACAAATTTAAACTTCCAACCCTAGTATTATGCCATCAACTATGTTTCCCAACAGAATAGTTTGGCTGACTTTCTAACAGAAGGTTCTGCCCCCCACCAGTCTAACAAACAGAAAGGACCTTGGTTCCCACGGGACAGAGAATTGTTTAAGCTAGTAGAAAAATTCCACCACCACCCTCCCATTCTGGTGGCAACCGAAAATGAGCCAAATGGCTTCCTTCAGGTTCATTGCAGAGTTGACATTGCGATCTGACTCTCAGATGTGGAAAACTGAATTGATTCTATGCATCGAATCAGTCTGCTGATTTTGATTCCCGGAAGTTCATTTGATTCGGGGATGTGATCAAATTGTCTCTGAATTGAATCACCACAGTTCATCTATGTCCCACCCACCTGTCCTGAAGTTCAAGGAGTTGGGAAGGTCCTGTAGACTGGATTGGCGGGCCTTTCCTTGAGGTCTCATCCATGTCTTCTGCTGCTGGGCTATCCTTATCTTACGGCAGATGCTTCAGTTGGCAGTTTAATTGACTTAGGGGCAGTTATGAGTTAAAGAACAGGATTGTGTTCTTTTTCTCTGCTCTGGTCAATCAAAGAAGATCATTCTCCTCCTTTTGTTCCTCTGACAGATGCCAGGATGGCTCTGAACACACACTTTCAGCTTTTTGTGGATTGTAATAACATCTCTGCTGGCATAACAAGGTTTTCGTGCGTGCTATTCTTCACCTTCCTTAAACAGCAAAATGAAGGCAATTCAATTTTTCCCGATTTTTCTTCTCTGGGTCACTCTTGAATTCATGGGGTTTGCTGAGCTCCTAGGCAAGCTGCTAATAGGCATGACTTGAATTGACAGTTAATTATCTACCAAGCCAGAGATGGAAGAAGCCATCATTCTTAATACTTTAGGAAGCACCTGAGTCAAGGGGCGATGGCTAGCGCTAAAGAGCCATTAAAAACAAACAAAGCTGCAGATGGAAAGAAAGAGAGTGAGGAGGGAAGGAAGGAAGGAAGGAAGGAAAGAAGGAAGGAAGGAAGGAGAAGAGAGGGAGAAGAAGGAAGGAAGAGATAGAGCAGGTGGAAGGAAGCAAAAGGAAGGAAGGAAGGGCGAATGGAAGGGAGAAGAAAAAGGAAGGAAAGAATAGAGTATGAGGAAAGAAGGGAGGGAGGAAGGAAGGAAAATAAAGGGAGACAGAAGAAAGAATGAACAAAGGAATAGAGCAGAAGGAAGGAAGGAAAGAAAAAGAGGGAGAAGAAGGAAGGAAAGAATAGGGCAGAAGAAGGAAGGAAGGAAAGAAAAGAGGGAGAAGAAGGAAGGAAAGAATAGGGCAGAAGAAGGAAGGAAGGAAGGATGGAAGGAAGGGGGAGAGAAGAAGAAGAAAGGAATAGAGCAGATGGAAGGAACAGCTTTATTCTCCTTCCTGAGAGAGGGGGAGCATTAATCTCTCTCTCTCCCGCTCTCTCTATTTCTCCCTCTCTCTCTGTCCATCTCTCTGACTGTTCTCTCTGTCTCTCTCTCTCTCTGTCTCTCTCTCCCCCCTCTCTCTTTCTCCCTCTCTGTCCCTCTCTGCCCCCCTCTCTCTGTGTGTCCACCCCTCTCTCTCTCTTTCTCTCTGTCCTTCTCTCTCTCTTTCTTTCCAGTAATGCTTAATGTGTGAAAATTGGCTGCAGAGGGAAAGAGAGAAGGGCACCGATAATCCAGCACTTTAAAGCTGGAATCATCAGGATTGTATTGCTATTGTTCTTACTCAATTACAGTCATCAAATGAGTATTGAAAATATGGAAAGCTTTTTCTCCTGGTCTGGATCGCTTTGTATGCTGTGGGGGAACTGCTTGTGATTTCAACTCTCTTCTGTGTCATGGCTGAGCTTATGGAGGCGCTCTTGAAAAGAAAAAGTAATAGGAAAGCATCATGAACACTGAGATGTCAATTTAAAATGAGGTCTAGGATGGGAGGAGCACTCCTGAAATATTTCATTTTCAAAATCTGGGAATTCTATATAATGACTGCTTCTGCACGATAAGGTTTTACCAAGTCTATGTCAACTCATTGATCGTGCTTCTCCAGGTTAATCTGTCCCCATCTGTCCCTTCAGATCTTCTAGTGGGGAACATCTCACCTCTTTAATTTCCTTCATGATAGACTCTTGAATTTGTCACTGTAATAACCATGCTAGAGAGATACTGTTATATTTCTTATTTTTCTCCTAGTTACATTTCTAAACTCATCATTTTGGGGAGCTTAACTTGCATGTTGTTCTCCTTTCCTCCACATCATAGCCAAAAATAATAGTAATAAAAAAAATGAATGGGCCTTAGAATAGAATAGAATAGAATAGAATAGAATAGAATAGAATAGAATAGAATAGAATAGAATAGAATAGAATAGAATAGAAGTTGGAAGGGACCTTGGAGGTCTTCTAGTCTGATCCCCTGATCAGGCAGAAAACCCTACACCATTTCAGACAAACGGTTCTCCAATCTCTTCTTAAGAAGCTCCAGTGATGGACCATTCACAACTTCTGGAGATAAATTGTTCCACTGATTAATTGTTCTCACTGTCAGGAAATTTCTCCTTAGTTCCAAGTTGCTTCTCTCTTTAGTTAGTTTCCATCCATTGCTTCTTGTCCTGCCTTCAGGTGCCTTGGAGAATAGCTTGACTGCCTCTTCTTTGGGGCAGCCCCTGAGAGATTGGAAGATTGCTATCATATCACCCTTAGTCCTTCTCTTCATTAGACTAGACATACTCAATTCCAGCAACCGTTCTTTATATGTTTTACCCTCCAGTCCCCTGATTATCTTTGTATAAAATTCATTCTTGCGAACCACGAGATGGGTGGCAAATAAATCTGATAGATAGATAGATAGATAGATAGATAGATAGACAGACAGACAGACAGACAGACAGACAGACAGACAGACAGACAGATGATAGACTAATGATAGATAGACTGGTGATAGATGATAGATAGATAGATAAATAGATAGACAGACAGACAGATAGATGATAGACTAATGATAAATAGAGATAGACTAATGATAGATAGAAGATAGATAGATAGATGATAGATAGATAGACTGATGATAGATAGATAGATAGATAGATAGACAGACAGACAGACAGACAGATAATAGACTGATACTGATGATAGATAGACTGATGATAGATAGATAGATAGATAGATAGATAGATAGATAGATAGATAGATGATGGATGGATGGACGGACGGACGGACGGGTGGGTGGGTGGATGGATGGATAGATAGATAGACTGATGATAGATAAATAGGTAGAAAGAAAGAAAGAAAGAAAGAAAGAAAGAATGAATGAATACAGGAACAAAGTCCTACCTGAAGTTCGTAATGCCACATTTCTGTTTCTTTGTCCTCCCCAGGGTCAACATAACTTCTTATGAGATCTTTCAAATGGATTTTGAAATTGACAACAGCAGCGAGTTGGCTGGGGCCCAACAAATCACCTGGCAGGTCGAGTACCCTCGAGACGAGGCTGAGAGCGAGCTGGTGGTCTCCGAGATCTTTGTCAGCCAATCCCTGTTCGTGGGAATTGTTCCACTCGCGATGGTAAGAGTTTTGTTTTAAACAAAGTTTCCTCGTTATTCTCTATTCTGTTCCATTCCATTCCATTCTGTTCCTTATTTCTATTCTGTTCTGTTCTATTCTATTCTATTCTATTCTATTCTATTCTATTCTATTCTATTCTATTCTATTCTATTCTATTCTATTCCATTCCATTCCATTCCATTCCATTCCACTCCACTCCACTCCACTCCACTCCACTCCACTCCACTCCACTCCACTCCACTCCACTCTACTCTACTCTACTCTACTCTATTCCACTCTATTCCATTCCATTCTATTCTATTCTGTACTCTACTCTACCCTACCCCACCCTACCCTACCCTACTCTACTCTACTCTACTCTACTCCTTGATGGTGAGGAACATCAAAAGGAGGAATTCTTGTGACCCAGCACCATTTCCACAATGTTGGCCAAGTGTCCTAGAGGTGAATGGATGGATGTTGTGAGAGACAAGTTGTACTAGGTTTCTACTGAGGGATTAAACCAAGCATAATGAAATGAGTTTTATTACAGATCAACGTGGAAGTGGGAACCTGGCCTCCCATGAGTCTGCAAGCTAGAAAATTGGCCCTATTAGCTATACATTTAATTATCTTTCTGGAGAAGCAAGTCCTTTTGGCCGAGTAATCATCTGTAATGTAGTCAGTGGGTTCTTTGCTGCTTTGCAGGAGGAGAGAGAAACGGGTTTTTAAAGTATTCCTGACACCGTGGGTCCCTCACCTCACTTGGTTATTTTATTAAGCCCAATGAAAATGAATCGCCGTTCCATTTTGGGACCATTAGCCCTCACATGTTAATCTGTGCACCAGATGTTGAAAGAATCAATTATTAGGGACAGTTGGCTGCCAAGAAAGGGAAGCAATGAAGTTGCCTGGGAACAGAGCAACAGACATTTCCATTTCAAGCAAGGGTTGACGTGCCAGAAAAGGCTAATTGTCATCTGAACAAATGCAGAATTTCTCAAAGTCTTTTAAACTTGGCGTCTGGCTCTTCAGACGTCAAGCAGCAAAATAACAGAATGTGACAAGAGTCGGAAGGGACCTTGGAGGTCTTGTAGTCCAAGCAGGAAACCCCACACCATTTCTGACAAATGGTCATTGATCTCTTCTTAAAAACCTCCAGTGATGGAGCACTCACAACCTCTAGAGGCAAGCCGTTCCACTGGTTAACTGTTCTCACGGTCAGGAAGTTTCTCCTTAGTTCTAGGTAGGTTGTCTCCTTGATGAGTTTCGACCTGTTTTCTCTTGTCTTGCCTTCTGGTACTTTCAAGAATAGACTGGACAGCCATCTGTTAAAAATGGTGTAGGGTCTCCTGCTTGGGCAAGGGGTTGGACTAGATGACCTACAAGGTCCCTTCCAACTCTGTTATTCTATTCTATTCTATTCTATTCTATTCTATTCTATTCTATTTCATTCCATTCTCTATTCTCTCTTCTCTTCTCTTCCTATCCCATCCCATCCCACTCTACTCTAGTCTACTCTATACTCTACTCTACTCTACTCTACTCTACTCTACTCTACTCTACTCTACTCTACTCTACTCCATTCCTATTCCTATTCCTATTCCTATTCCATTCCACTTTGGAAAATAGATTGTCCCCCTCTTCTTTGTGGTAGCCCCTCAAATACTGGAACCCCGCTATCATGTCCTTCTTTTCATTAAACTAGACGTACCCAGTTCCTGCAACCATTCTTCATATGCTTTAGCCTCCAGCCTCCAGCCCCCTAACCATTTTTGTTGCTTTGGCATGTTAGAACAGTTCAGGGTGGAAGATGGGCTGTTTCTGGTCCATAACAGTTCAAACAAAACCTTGAGTTGTAGATACAGAGAACTTAACCTGGGACCCGCTGCCTACAAAGAGAGAGAGATCTAACCACTGAGGTAAAACCTGTCCTGAACATGTTGTAGAGTAGACCATGTTCCATCTAGCCTGCTATTCTCCAGCTATTTTCCAGCTGGCATTTTAAAAGTTTTCAGCTCAAAAACTTCCATCAAGCTTTATGTCACAGGCCAGAAGGATCCACTTACCAAGTTGGTAAAAAAAATAAAATAAAATTCAAACATTGGAGATCAGTAATACTTGTTGAAGGAATGTAGCAAAGCGATGCCTGAAATTTCAGCCCCTGTGTGACGCCAAGGAGAATCTCCACCGAGCAATAATGTCATGTTGCTCTGCCTGCTCTTTTGAGCTGGCCAGTCTGTCTCCATCTCTCCTTTGTTTTTGAAACTGTCAGATCTCCTATCCTACTGTTTTTCACCACCTGTTTGAGAAATTAACTCTCACATCCGCGGCTGAGCTGAATCTTGACCGAAAAAGCTCAACGGCAAAATAACAGAGACTTGAGTTGACCAGCCAAGAGTTAACAGCTCAATGGGTTGCCTCCTGCCGGATATCTATATGCCATTATTAACACACTAAGCACTTTTGCAATTTTCTTGGCATGGGGCCTACCTCCAATCAATTCCAAAGGAGTTGCAATATCCCAGCCTAGCAATTATCCCATAGACTGCACAAGGCAATTTGGGCCCGACGTTTCAGCAGCCAATCCTCTCTCTTGACTTATTTTTAGAAGAAATGTTGACAGCCAGCCTCAAATCCACCCGGCCTAAAATGACGGTTTCAAGACAGAAGAATGGGACAAAGCTGTATTTCCACCCAAAGTACGAAGAACAGAAACATCTGCGTTAAGATGATCCCGGCAAGGGTGTCACACACCCTCACAAAGCACAAATTTTGCTCCCCTATCCTGGCTGTCGATGCACACGATTGCCGTTTGTGGCTTTCCTAGCTGGCTTCTTGACAAGGAAAGTCAAAGGGGAGAAAGCCATGTTTGCACGACGAGTTCGCAATTCCCTCAACCCCTGCAAGGATTCTCCTAAGGACCGTGGTAAAAAGGGTCATAAAAGACGATTGTGGTTGTATGTTGAAGACGATCCATACTCCATAATTTTTTTCATCCGTGTCTTTGGAAATCTGGTGTCCCCCCTACAAAGGGGCTCTTTTTTTTATATTGAAATTTTTATTGAGTTTTATAGGGTTGGGGAAAGGCTAGGACCAGGATAGGGATTAAGGTTTGGGGTGGGGTTAGGATCGGGTTTGGGGTTAGGATATGATTAGAAACAACATTGGGGTTAGCCCCCAATAACATTTTCAAGCTTTAGCAAGCAGATTGTTGTCCAGGTACATACGTTCAGTTAACATTGATTAATATAATGGTAAATAGCTGTAAAAAACAGAGATATCACCCTGCCAACAAAAATGCGTATAGCCAAGGCCATGGTTTTCCGAGTTGCAATATATGGATGTGAAAGTTGGACCATAAGAAAGGCTGAGCGCCAAAGAATGGAGACCTTTGAACTCTGGTGCTGGAGAAGACTCCTGCAAGTCCCCTGGACTGCAAGGCCATCAAACTGGTCAGTCCTACAGGAGATCAACCCTGACTGCTCTTTAGAAGGCCAGATCCTGAAGTTGAAACTCAACTACTTTGGCCACCTAATGAGAAGGAAGGACTCATTGGAGAAGAGCCTAATGCTGGGAAAGATGGAGGGCAAGAGAAGAATGGGATGACGGAGAATGAGGTGGCTGGACGGAGTCACTGAAGCAGGAGGCGTGAGCTTCAATGGACTCCAGAAGATGGTAGAGGACAGGAAGGCCTGGAGGAACGTTGTCTATGGGGTTGCGATGGGTCGGACACGACTTCGCAATTAACAACAAATAGCTGTAGTAATTATAATAGACGATAATCATAAACAGTATCAGTTGGTCAATACATATCGTTCTTCTTACTAATATATATTCAAGATAACATATCACATTCATTTCTCACCAGTTTGCTTTCCTAACCATTGGTAAAAATTATCCCGTGTTCTAAAATAAACTGAATCTTCTTTCCCTTTGATCTCTAAGGTTAGTCTATCCATTTCTGCACATTCTAAATTTTTTTTAATTAAAATCTCTTCAGTTGGTAAATTTTCATTTTTCCAGCACTGGGCAAAATATTATTCTCGCTGCTGTCAATATGTGCAATATTAAATATTCATTCTCCTTCTCATACTCAGCTCCTAATATTCCTAACAAAAACAGTTCGGGTTTAAAATTGATCTGTCTTTTAGTCATCTTTTCCCGCCAGGTGTGTATCTTAAGCCAGAACTTTTTCGCTTCAGGGCATCCCCACCAAAAGGGCTCTTTCTTTTGAGTAATGGTGGGCTAATATTGTGAATCACTTCCAACCGTGGATGGTCTTATACACTCCAGCAAGACTTCTTTTAAATGGGAAATTGAATAATGGTATTTCTACACACACACACACACACACGCACACACAAACCGATCCATTTTAAAGCTGCCCAAAGGCTGAACTGCTGACGAGATCAACCAGGAAAAATGGCCCTTAAAAGCAGCTGCCTTCGATAACTCAAGCTTGAGGGGGGGAGGAATTGCTGAGTACATCAATTTCGGCATATTTGGGCAGAAGTAGCCAAAATGCTTCCAGGTATCGCTGTTCAGGGGGTAATGCAACTCCTGGAGAATATCTTTCATGGATGATATATAGGCAGAGTGAGTATGAAAACAGGTTACTAGCTCCGGGCGGGCTTTGGTCCCCAAAAAGCTGAAGAATTTCTACTGCTCTTGGGGAAGAATAGTTTTCATTCCTGCAATGGCCCTAATCCCAGTGTTGTTGTTGTGTTGTTTTTTTCCGCCTTTCCTTGTTTTATTCAGTTTATTCAACGTTATAGAAAGGATGACTTAGGCATGTCCATAACTTATCCCTGGCCCCATTGAGGGATAACGGGAATGTGGGAATGTGTCTCCTTTTTCAAAGATTCTTTCCAAATCTTCTTCCCGTGAGGGTAAACCTCCATCCTTTGTAATACTGATGATGTTGCCTAGTTGGGTCATGAAACGTCTGTAAGAAAACAGCCAAGTTCAGACCGCACCAAGATCCCACAGTCCTCCTCCCTCCTCCCTCCTCCTCCTCC